GGTGTGTGCGTGTGTTGTGTGGTTTAACCTTGATTCTGGAGTGTACACTCATTTCTATGTATGTGATTTCTGCAAATGTCTAGTGCTTAGTGTTGCCACATTCATCTTTTCCTTTGTTCTGTATCTGTCCTGTATCTCTTGCCCAGAGCTGTGTTAGTCACCCATGCTCGCCCGCTCCGGTCTGTGGTCACCATCCCAGGTGCGCGGACCATTGTGACTAGTCTACGTTTTGGGAAAATGCACAGGTCCCCCGTGGCAGCCGAGCACTGTAGACTTTCCTACTTTTTCTTCCCGCTCACCCAGTCCCCTTTACTTGGCAGACCTCGCTTGGTCAAGATGGGCAAGAACATGCTAGACCAGCTAAAGGGTTTTTAGCTTGTGATATTGTGAAGGAAAGGGCAGGGGAGGAGGCAATGTTAAAGATCAAGAAAATTGCTAAGATTTGTGGTTTTCAAATGCCACCTGGTGGTAGGTTACAACCTGAGTTTTGGAAGAAGTTGCTTGTGGACAAAGAAGGGTTGTTGTCAGGCTAACCAAAGCTGTAGAGGCTTGGTATCGGGTTGCTAGAGGACTTAAGCGGGAGGGTTGGATGGAGGAAGAACTAGAGTTTGAGGGACAAACGATATATGTGTACCATCGAAATGATTGTAATACTGTTTCCCCCGAAAATCCCCGGCCACCGCCCTATGATGGCGCCCAGACCGTGTTGAGCAGCTCCCGTCCAACTTCTCCAGTTAACACCCAGACGCCACCTCCCAGTGACGTAGTACATGGTTCCACCCCCTTATGTCCTGTGCTCGGAGCTGACGGAGCCTATTACTATCCAGTACCATTGCATTCTTTCCCCCTTGTACCTATGCCCCAGCCGTTCCCCTCCCCCGATCTAGTTCCGTCCCAGCCCGTCCTCCCAGACTGCCTGCAGCCGCTGCAGGAGCCCCTCCCATGTATGTTACTTTCAACCCTTCACAGGCCGCCACCCTTGTCACCTCTCTCCCTGATCCTGAGAAACAACCCATGTAGGATGGCTCAGATCCGTAAAACCTACTCCGCCGCCTGGCGGGATCTCTTTAGTTTATGTGAGATCAAAGCAGGTGATGCCTACTGGTCTATCATGGAAAAGAGCTTTACAGATGCTTCACTCACCACTGACACAGACTTCCAATCTGGTATCACATTCTGTGAACAACTCCGTGCCTGGGCACAAGATAAGCTGGCAGACCAGGCTACCTGTATTAATGACATTGTTCAGGAAAAACTTGAATCTGTTGAAAAGTATCATTCACGTCTAACCCAAACTTTCTCTGATCTAGGCTTTAGTACTTACAATAAAGCTCATACCCAGATGTTGTCTGCTGCCTTTGTAGCTGGGTCAAAGGAATCTATTCGTAAGGGTTTAATTCTCTCCCGACCTGAGTACCGTATAATTCCTTTAGGCACACTTTTTCTGGTAGCCAAGGGGTTAGAGTCAGTGGTACAACCCATACAGAGGAGGGCAAACCCAATGATGTTCAATGCCCCTGCTGTTGTCACAGGATCAGTGTAGGCCGCTCCTGTTTTTAATTCACCTCCAGCTGTCCCAGCTCCTAACCGAGACCGACCCTCAGCTGCCAGGATCTGTTATAATTGCCATCAGACTGGCCATTTCCGTAGGGACTGCCCATTTCCCAGATATAACAGACCATTGCCTCCCCGGTATTCTGGCTCTTCCCCGGCAGCTTACGCTTATTTTCCTCCGGGGTATTTTCAGCCACCACCTCCTCCGTCAGTACCATATTTTCCACCTCCAGAGTATTCTCAGGTCCCTCCACCGCCCCCGGAGACTCACTCTTGTCCTCCAGCTCCTGCTGATGGGCTACAATAGGTAACCGGCAAGCCTGTGTCTGACACCCCTGTCATGGCAGTGTCTACAGGGGATGAGGGAGGGCCACTAGCTACTGTAGTTCTACCCGTAGAGGTTGACACAGGTGCAGCCCGTAGTGTTCTTAGAGAACAAGACCTGCCTGACCCATCCTTCCTGTCAGACACCGATGTTTCTTGTGTTGGTGTTGATGGTACCCCCCGCAGTAGCCCTCTCACTAAACTCCTCCATGTGGGGTCAGATATCCTCTCCTGGTTTGTTGTCTCCTCCACGTGACCCATTAACCTTTTGGGTGCTGATGTTCTGTCCTGTCTCCAAGCTTCCATTACCTTTACTGCAGACGGCCAAGTTCAGCTAAATACACCCCTGTCACGGAAAGACACTTCAGTACTTTGCTCCCTCCCCATACTACTACATCTAGCATCTCCCATAGGGGAATCAAGGGTCCCTCATGCACCCAGTGCTCTGGACAAAATCCCTGCAAAGCTCTGGTCCACAGGCCCTGATGATATTGGTCGCCTTAAAGTTCCTCCAGTTGTTGTCACACTTCTGCCAGGAGTAGCGCCTCCCCGAAGACCCCAGTATCCACTGAAACCTGCTCAAGCCCTCACCATTTCTAAGCAAGTGGAAAGCCTCCTGGCCAAGGGAGCCCTTGTCAAGTGTGTATCGCCATGCAACACTCCCCTATTTCCTGTTAAGAAGAAGACTGAGAAGGGGCAGCCTGATCAATATTGCATGGTCCAGGATCTACGCGCAGTTAACGATGTCACTGTCAAGGATACAGCTGTGGTCCCTAATCCACATACATTACTGTCACAAGTTCCACCCTTTGCCACAATCTTTACTGTAGTAGACCTTGCTAATACATTTTTCAGTGTGCCCCTGGACCCATCCTGCCTGCCATCCTGTCTTCTTGGGACATTGTCTTTCCCATGGCACTCGTCATCTTACCAAGGACAGGATCTTAGCCATTTTGAATTTACCAGTTCCTTCTGCTCACCAATCTCGCCATGCCTTTTTAGGCCTCATCACTTATTGCAGATCCTGGATTCCTGAAGCTTCTCAACTGATGCAACCACTATATGATGCTCTGAAAAGCGAGCCTTTCTCACTCTCTCCACATGCCATTGCCTGTTTCACTGCTCTAAAGAAAGCCATTGCATCTGCACCGGCCTCGGGCCTACCGAACTACCAACTGCCTTTCAAGTTGTTCGTGTCTGAGAAACTGGGCCACGCCTCCGGTGTACTTACTCAACAACATGGCTCAAGACAAAGACCCATAGGCTACTTCTTTTGCATGCTTGATCCTGTTGCCAGGAGTAGCACAGTACTGGTAAAGCCTGGATATCAACCCAGATGTCCGGATGGAATTCCAAATGCCACATCTTGCAACTCCACATGATGTGCAACCAGAGAACTTGTTACACTGTACCCTGTGGTTCAAAGATAACCCAGGCCCTGATGTGGATTATGAAGAAAAACTATTTCAACTTGTGGATATTCACATCACACTTACAGACTTGTTATGGGACTTCAGAGTTAACATGGGGCCGGTGCTAGGATTTTTGACTACACAGGCGAAGATGCATTTTGACGCCCCCCCCCCCAAAAAAAATAAACAATGCATCTTCACCTCTGTGTCTCGTAGCCCCCTTTTGAATTTCTTACCCCCATTAGTGTTGCATATCCACTCTCTTGAATGTCTTATCCCTTTGGCCCCTTTGTGCCTTACACCCCCCTTTAGTGTGTCTCCTACAACACCTCTTATGTATTTCTTACTTCCCCGCCAGCCCCTATCTATCTCTCTTTTTCTCCCACATAGACATAGATACAGGCAAAAATACATACATGCACAAATACACAAACATACAGACACACAACCATACAAGCACACAGACATAATTTTTCAGGCACACAGTCACAAAGAAATACAGACACACAGTCATAAAAGGCACACAAACAAACACAGTCATACAATCTACACATACAGGTACATTGTCATACAAACACAGACATACATTCATACAGACACAGGCACTCACAGAAATACAGACAGACATAAAGAAACATAGAGATAGGCATACAGAGACATACATACACAGACAAACAAAGAACCCTGCACACTGATACCGTGTAAATGCTCCGGCCATCAACAGTGGTGGATGCTCCGTGTCAGGCGGACATCGCTGGATCCACCAGTAAAGTCTTCAAAAGGAATAAACGCAGGCAACACTCCAATAGTAAGGATGGTATATTTATTGGTAGGTGAACCACCCCATAGAAAGTGTGATGTTTCAGCTCATGTAGCTCTGCTGAGCCGAAACGACGCACTTTCTTTGGGGTGGTTCACCTATCAATAAATATACCATCCGTACTATTGGAGTGTTGCCTGCGTTTATTCCTTTCGAATACATACACACAGTCATACAGAGACATACATACTCTGACATACGTCTCTATATGACGGTCTGTGTATGTACACAGGATGGCTAAAAGATAGATCCCCATCTGTCGTGCAACTTCAACAATGCTTTGAAAGCTGGGGCTCTACCGATTCCCCATGCTTGCAGGATTGTATTTAGCATGGAGCAGTATTTGTGTGTTTGACTGTAAGCATGTGTTTGTATGGAGTATGTTTGTATGATTGTAGCGGTGTGTTTGTATGTAGTGTTTGCATTTGAATGCAAGCATGCATTTATGTGTAGTGTTGGTTTTTGAACGCAGGTGTGTGTTTATATATAATTTTGGTGTCTGATACAGAGGTGTGTTTGTATGTAGTGTTGACATTTGAATGCAGGGGTGTGTTTGTATGTAGTGTTGACGTTTGCATGCAGGTGTTTATTTGTGTGTAGTGTTGGTGTTTGAATGCTGAGATATATGCACATATACACATACACTGCCACACATGCACACACTGTGATACACATACACAAAGATATACACACTGACACACATGCAGATATACATATACACAAACTGATACACATTCAGATAGACTGACACACATATACAGATACACACAAACACTGACAGACATACAGATAAACACACACTGACATACAGACACGCTGACAGACATACAGATACACACATACACAATGATAGACATACACAAACACACAAAGACACACAGACAGACACACACACACTGACAGACATTTAGATACACACAGACACACGGACAGAGACATTTACATACACACACACACTGACAGACATAGATACACACACACACTGACAGACATAGATACACACACTGACAGACATATACAAACACACTGACAGACATAGATACACACACACACTGACAGACATACAGATACACACATACACAATGATAGACATACACAAAGACACACTAACAGACAAACATACACACACACACTGACAGACATTTAGATACACACAGACACACGGACAGAGACATATACATACACACACACACTGACAGACATGGATACACACACACACACTGACAGACATAGATACACACACACACTGACAGACATATATACACACACACTGACAGACATAGATACACACACTGACAGACATAGATACACACACACAATGACAGACATACAGATACACACATACACAATGATAGACATACACAAAGACACACTAACAGACAGACATACACACACACTGACAGACATTTAGATACACACAGACACACGGACAGAGACATATACATACACACACACACACTGACAGACATGGATACACACACACTGACAGACATAGATACACACACACACTGACAGACATGGATACACACACAGACCAACAGGTTCAGGAGGGTGGCTTACCTGGGATCCAGAGTGCTACCTGAGGTAGATGGGAGCTGGAGGAGCTGGTCCTGGTCAGCCCCCCTCCTCTCTGCCTTCTGCTGCTCTAGTCTTCTTGGGAGGACTTCCTCCCATGCTGACAAAAAGGGGCCGGTGGTAGCTCCGCCCCTGCTGGGCACCAGCCGCACTGTGTGCTACAGAGGGAGCAGGGATATGACGTTCATATCCCCGCCCCCTCCACACAGTCCGCGGCACTGCAGGTTGGCGCTCGGCCACGCTACAAGAAGTGACTGGCAGGAGAGGGGCGCTGTGCGCTCTCCTCCTGCCGGTCACCCGGACATTTGCGCCCCCGGGCCGGTGCGCCCTAAGGCGGCCGCCTGTGCCGCCTTATGGACGTGCCATCCCTGACCTCCCAACAGAAGTATCCCACCTCTACCGTCACTGGGAGACAGCTGTCCCACACATATCCTTCACCAAGTCCCCTGATCTCTCATGGAAAGATCTAGGCCCAATGGCCAAATCCTGGAGTGCAATAACCCAAGAACAGCTCGAATCAATGGGAGTAACTAAGAGGATTATCAACTGCAGCACAGTGGGATACCCTTGATACCACACAGAAATCTATGAAGATCTCCCTCCCACGAAACAAGACTTAGAAGCCCCTCATGATTGCTTTGAACAGATGAAGATGGAAACCACCCATTTACCAACTGTGTATGAGACTGCTCTACCTAATCCAGACTGGATACTGTTTGTGGATGGTTCTAGATTTGCTGATGAGCAAGGGCAATATCACACTGGATATGCAGTGACTACAGAATGTCAAGTACTACAAGCAGCCACACTTCCGCCAACCAAATCAGGTACTCCGGTGAAACATGGCACAGCCATTGAAGAACTGATGGATGCCCTAATACTTCCAGCAGAAGTGGCAGGGCTCAAAGTGAAAGCCCATGGGAGGCTGAATTCAGAAGAAGCACGAGGCAACCACTTAGCTGATCGAGCCACCAAGGAAGCAGCACGACAAGGGTGGAAAGTGGACTGAAGAGTGGCCACTGAGACAACACCCATTTACACCATGCAAACATTGCCTAATTTTAAAGGAACAACAAGCCGCTGCAACCCCTCAAGAGAAACACAGTTGGAAGAACAGAGGGGCTATTCTCCGAGATGATGTTTACACCATCAATCTTAAGTTCTGTCTACCCAAGAATATGTATCCAGCTGTTGTCCAATGGGCTCATGGACCAGCCCACCTGTCAAAACACCCGATGAACTCCCTGATTGATAAATACTTTGAAGCACCGGGTATTACTACTCTAACACAGAACTATTGTAGATCTTGTGCAATTTGTGCTAAATGTAACCCCGGGAAGATTGTTAATACTGCACCCAACCACTTGGCCAAACCACAATATCCTTTCCAGAGGATACAGATTGACCATATCCAGATGCCAAAGAGTGGACGCTATGAGTATGCATTAGTCATTGTGGACATGTTCTCAGGATGGCCAGAAGCCTTCCCAGTGGCCAATCTTACCGCATGAACCACAGCCAAGCATCTTCTGACGGAAATTGTTTGCCGGTATGGTGTTCCAGAAGTGATTGAAAGTGACCAAGGAACCTCCTTTACCACCTCATTGACACGGGAAGTCTGGGCAGCACTGGGGGTGACACTTGCCTTCCATACACCATATCACCCACAGAGTAGTGGTAAGGTAGAACGCATGAATGGCACATTGAAGGCCAGAATGCTCAAGATGTCCCAAGAAACTAACATTCCCTGGCCTGAGAGTCTTCCATTAGCATTATTTAGTGTGAGGTACACCCCTAGGGGAAAATACAACTTATCTCCCTATGAGATCTTGTTTGGTACAGCACCAAGGTTAGGTTGTTATTTCCCCCAACAGCTTCAGATTCAGTCAGATGCTATGGTAGATTATGTGAGTGCTCTCTCTCATGCCTTGACCAAAATCCATGCCCAAGTGTTTTCTTCTATTCCAGATCCTGAGTCGAATACAGGTACACACAAGTTGCTCCCTGGACACTGGGTTATGGTCAAGAAATTCCTCAGGAAACACACCCTTGAGCCAAGATTTGATGGTCCTTACCAAGTGCTGCTGATTACAGCTACCTCAGTAAAACTGGCCGGGAAGGGTCCCTGGATACATGCCTCACACTGCTAGAAAGTGCCTGCTCCAGAAGAAGCTGTCCCTGCTGAGCCATGAATTTTCTGTGTTCCTTGTGTTTTCTTTTGCTACTAAACTTTACAGGGGACCAGCAAGTGGCTATAACCAAAGATAACCATATTTACACTTTTTGGTACAATTCCTCAAACACAGATGTAGCTACCTTTTCTTTTGATTACTGTGATATTGTTACTTGCACCTTCCAACAAACACAATATGCTGCTATATACAAGGACATACCCAATAAGAAGGACCCATATATCTGTGTGACAGGGAGGTAATGGGGACACCATTGTAGTTCTTGGAAGGCGGCTGGGTGGAACACGGGTAGGTCATGGGGCTATAAACCCCAGAGTGCCCTAGACCGAGTTGACAAAGACGGGAAACCTCTACTCTCTAGAATGACCTTAAGTAAACCTATTGGGTCAACCCCCATCAAACTTACTCTGAACATAGAGCACCCCAGTCCAGGGGATGCAAGGGAATATGTAATGGGTATGTACTGGAGGGGCGGTGGTTCATACAATAAGTTGGGGAAATTCTACCTACAAGACATGCTTACCTCACCTGACTGGGTAGGAACTACACACATGACTATCAACCCACTTAAACCACATATAAAGACCCTATATGATATGGTGGCTTATCCTACCTTTGAAGACACCATTGCAGTGGAAACTGGGTTCTCAGACACTAACTTATGGCTGGAATGGATGAGATATAATGTTAACTCACACAATAAGACTAACTGTTATGTATGTGGGGGAGCTAGGCCCCACCTGGGTACGGTGCCTTTAAATCTACCTCCCGATGTAGAATTATGTGTTTTGAGTCTTTATGCACAATCCACTACTAACTCCTCAATGTGAGTCATGGAAAAAGGTCTACCCAATCACCCAGGGACACGTTAGACCACCTGATGGAGTCACGGTATACCCAGGTAACTACACTTGTTATTCAATACCTAAGAACACGGGTACATTCATGGGCAAATTCCCATCTGGTTATTGCTCCACCTATCATAATCCACCCATGGCATTGTTAATGAATCATGTAAAAACAGTTGGGGACATATATTGGCTGTTTGGTGATAGGTACCTTAGATCCCAACTAACAGGACTGTGGTGGGGAGAATGCACACTGACTAAGGCCATAATAAGATATTTGCAAAAGACGGTAGGGAAGACTGTAGACAAAGTAACCCCTACTTTCTTACATCAAGACGTCACTGACCTAGAACGTGACACACCACATACACCCCTTCAGCCCCACCAGTTTAGACAGACATCTGCATTTTTGTAGGGATAACATAGGAAAAGCGTCTGTCTCTACAGGTGAGTCTCACGTGCGGAGATGTGGTGGACTAGCCGCTGCGGGTTACCCACGGAGTGAAGTGTTCAATGCTTGTTAAGACAGATGAGCTGCAGGCAGCTAGGGACATGTTAGGGACAGTGGCAGTTGTTATGGTAAATAGCCATTTTAAGGGGGGACTGTTGTGGAAATGAGATATTGACATATTCTATAGTTAGTAAAATGTCTATTTACTCGTTTAACCGAAATCAGTGCATAAGCTATTAACACATATTTAGACAAAATGGCCACAAGAAGCTTCTAACCCCTCCCTCCCTATAACACTGACTAACTACCTCGTGCAATAAGATGGCGCTGGAATCTGGGGGAGACCCTCATGGTCTCAGTGACATCACCCTTAGTAGGCAGAGCATTAAGGAAACCACTTAACACCTAACCAATTAATAAAGTATTATTTCATGTTATCTCTGACAATGCTTATGATGTAATTTTGCTTTAAAAGGGACCTGCTGTCCCCTCTGAATAAACATTCCTCAAGTTATTCATCAACCTGAAACCTGTGTCTGGTGTGAATTACTTCAGGGAGCGTGCACGCATTGTTTCTTAATTTGGCCAGGGGCAGATACACAAAGAATAATCAATTAATTGAATTGATATCCACTTCAAGGATCCTATGACAAGAGATATGCAAATGATTGCTGCAAAAAACGTGCAAATAACTTGTGATTGGATAACTCGAGACAAGGTGCTACAGTTATTAAAGAAAATGAATGTAAATAAAGCTCCGGGGCCTGACGGTATTCACCCACGAGTACTTAAGGAGCTAAGTGGGGAAATAAGTGAACCTCTGTATTAAATTTTTCAAGATTCTTTTGTTTCAGGTGTTGTACCGGAGGATTGGAGGAAGGCAGATGTTGTTCCTATATTTAAAAAGGGTTCAAAATCCTTACCTGGAAATTATAGACCTGTGAGCTTAACTTCTGTAACTGGGAAAATATTTGAAGGGCTATTAAGGGATAATATTCAGGAATTCATTGGGAAGAACTTTGTTATTAGCAATAATC